GTATAAAAAAATTATGCATATGCAACATTTAGTTTGATTAACATTTGTGAAATGTAATTTTTGACTACAAGACATTTACAACAAAATAATTTTATTATAGTGTAATGAAATATACCTGGAAGTTACTTTTACTGTTTTCATGAAGTTTAAACCATTTAAATACAAGTTAAATCAGTACTATGAAATTAAAAAAAAAACAAAAAAAAACATAGATTAATGGATTATTGTAAATTTGTTGGATTTGATAAAGCAAGTCAGTAAAGTTATTGTTTTATTCAGCATTTCAATGTGTCGTCTGCTACAAATCTCTCTCCCTGAAATAAACATATGCTTCTGTTTACTACTGAAGGTTCATGACCTGTAATGATCACATGGCTCCTCCCAGGGAAATTCAAGCCAGTACTTTTTTCAAGAAATACACTTAACAAAGTTATATTTTGAATAATTTTGGTCAATCTTTATAAAAAAAATAGCTATGCCTACAAACATTCCAAGTGTTGTTATAATGCATTTGGTAATTAATCTTAAATCTTTGAAAAATGGTCCCTGAAGTGAAGCATGCATAAAATTAATAAGAAACCTGCCCTAGCGCCATCTGCTGGCTTTTATAGTCCAGTTGGGCCTATTACAATTCAATTCAGCAATACCCTTAAGTTAACGTTGTACGCATTTTTCCACGAAGAATGGAACCTTCCTAGCCCGTTAAAAAGTAATTTCACTCTCTCATGTACCCTCAAAGGCATAAGGCGACAAGTGGGCGATGCAGTGGTTCGTAAAAAGACTATTACCCTTCTACTACTTCTTCGCAAAATTTTAGTAAGCCTGGATATGTCTGTATCTCTAGACGCCACTGTGTGGGCAGTATGTTTAACTATGTTTTATGGCTAACTTAGGAAAAGCAATGTTCTTCCGGATACTTTCGATCCTAGCGAAGAGTTATTCAATTTCTTCAGTTGGGGGGGGGGGGGGGGGGCTATGGTTCTCATAAGATGGAGCAAAGTTATACAGCTCCAGTTTCGCACCATTGAATTACCTTTGCCTCGTTTAAAATCAAATAGTTAATGCCCTGTTCAGGTAATTTTCAATTGCTTTCAGTTTACCCAAGGGCCCAATCTGGACAGACAAAGTTAATGGTCACTTAATTATTATAACATTAACTTGCGATCTGTTAATTACCCGTGTCCGGCGCTGCCTAACTCTCAGTGGCGTTAACATTTCCGAGATAGCCAGGCACAGTTTTCGGAGAGGCGGAGCAATTTTTTGTTATGCAATTGGCCTCCCTGCAGAATCAATAAAATTGCTAGGTGATTGGCGCTCATCCTGTTACCAATCTTATTTAGATAATGATACCAGCTCTCGTCTAGCTATAATTCGCTCCATGCAACTGGCCCTTAAGCCGCAAAAATCCCTGTCCTGGTAGGGAGAATTTTGTAGGCGTGTTTATCAGATAAATCATGCAAAGGACGCTGTACCTGTGCTAAATTTAGCTGATGTAAACAAACACTATAGCAGACGATTACTGATCAGCAGCTCCCTTCCTAGAGTAATATTGATCAAGTTTCTACTGGAAAGTTAACACTGCCACTTGTATTTGTTTACAACCTGCAGTTCATGACCCCATTTACTCCGCCCCGGGATTTTCAAATTTTTGACAGTTAACTGATTTTTTTTTCACAAAGTACATTTAAGTGAATCTTTTGTGATATTTTCTCTGCCATTTTATTTCAAATGTTGCAAAGAAGTTATACAAAAAGTTTTTAGGCAAAATACTTCTTGGTTATTTTACTATTTCAAAAAAGGGCTGTTAGATGTGAAGCATGTCAAAAATACCATGAAAATCTGCCCCAGCGCCATCTAGTGGCTAAAATAGTCAAGTTGCAGGTTTAAGACCCTCATTATTACCTCAGTATCTCCTACGTCCTACTGTCTACCCTACTCTACTACTGGGATTTGGACGATAATTAAATTTGTATTGATGTTCACATGTACATGTATATTATTATTAACGGAGGGTCACATGAATTTCATATGTTGCATTTTTTTGTTGTTTTATAAAACTGTTATGTAACATTTCTTGCTTAATGATCATTTGTCATACTTATTCATGCTTTGTTGTTAGCTTAATATTTCTGATTGCGCATTATAATTTGTCATAACTTACATAATCTCACCTGCTGCGCATTTCGTAGTTGGAGCTATAGATAGTTTTAGTTAATAAAGCTCTCAGTATCCCGTTATCTGTCATTGTTTTGTTTAATCACAATTATGACTGTGAAAGAGCCGTAATGAAAGAGCAAATAATTTTCTTAACCAATTAATTATCAAGTGCAACGTGTAAAAATCATGTGTACATGCGCTTACTGAATATACATCGTATTGTAAATAAAAATGTTTTTCATGTTTAACATAATTATAGAAAGAGAACAGAAAGCATGTTGCATGACATTTGCAACCTAACCTGAAAATTACTTTAAAGGCACATTATGCCTCAGAAATCCATATTTTTACAATTCTTTAGAAATGTCAAACATGTGTTTAATAATGTTTAAATAATTGATTAAGAGGATATAAGTTGTTTAACAACTGAGGAAAATCTTGCTTAATGTGCAGTAATGTGTCATAAAGGCAAAGTAGTAATTTGTCTTCCGTAAAAAATACTTATTCACAATGGAATTTATACTAATTGCCAACAAAGCAAATAAAAGTAAAAGAAGTTAATTTATGTGGCAAACGATTATTAAATAAAAGTTTTTTGAGAAATAAATATGATAGCAATTCTGTGGCATAACGTGCCTTTAAACTATAGTCCGATTTTTTTTACTAGGAACTGATGCCAAAATTGACAATTGAAGAAAAAAGTAAAATTTACGCCAACGATAGTATCAATATAAATATATGTAGGTAGAATTTTGCCTCCTTACAGCAGTCCGGTTAGCTTAGGTTCAAGTCTGTCGATATTTTTATGTACTTCTGTTCGGCAAAAGTTGTTTTTATCAAAACACGATCGGGTCTATTTGAATAAGCAAAACATATCAACGCATGAATCCCAGACTACTATCCGTTAAGCTCAATAGGTAGAGCGTTGGACTGTGAATCGAGCGACCCAGGTTCGATTATGCTGTGATCAGATAATGCAAAAAAGATACTAGCTCGTATAAAAACAACTTCCAAGGTTTTACAAAGTGTTTGATAAAACGGCTCATACACTGAAGGTATCAAATATTTTGTGGCAAACTTATATTTCCCTCCTTAGACTGGCATATATTTCAAAGAAAATGATACAGAAATAAAATACTTACGGCTCGTACTTTTCTTTTTTAATACTTAAAAGAGTGCAGAAAATCACGTCAATGTCACATGGTATTGCTAAAATGCGAAAAGCACCCGTATTAAGAAAAAAATAATGTAACTGAATCATTGCATTTATTTGTTATTGAAAAAATGCCCTACGGATATCCTCACATATGGCTAGAACTCCCGAATTTTAGGCTAGCCGTACGGGCCCGTACCCGATCTATAACATGTATTCTAAATTGAAATGGATTTTAATGAATAAACGTGAAAGGTACAAATGTATATATTGAACATTAAGCAAACGTTTTATCAAACTATATGAATGATATTTTATTTGAATTTATTAGTTACCATTTTGATAATTATTATTTAACAATATCATAGGCCAGACAAATACTTACAGATATATCTAACTGTTTCATAGTTAAACCTAACTGTTTCTTTTATTTGTATAACAAAATATGACAAAATCACTACTTGTAAACTCAAAAAAGACACCAAAAGCCAGTGCTCACAATTCAAGAAATGAATTGTACGTTTAAGATAGTCTTTTAGTGACGCGGCGGTCAAGTCCATATTATGGTGTAAACAATTATCATATTGTCTTTATTATCTTAGAGAAGCAGGCTTGCAATATAAATTGAAATATCGGCAAATTTACCAACTTTCAGCGTAACGCAGTGGGTAAGATTGTCAGATAATCTTATGGGTAATTATCAATGCAAGACTGGTTCGGATTGTACTTTTTTCGCGAAAATAATAATCATTTACTGTAAGACGAATACATGTATGTTATATTTCTTCTTGACGTAAAGAAATATTAAGTGTACTGTTGAAATACTTGTGCACTGCACAAATACATGACTGCTGCAATATATACAATACACAGGATAAAAAAATATTATTACCAGTATATTAAAATAACAAAACTACCTTTATTTTCAAATGCATGTGCATCTTTAGTAAAACTTTGCCATCAAGATTCCTTTTTTTTTTCTTGAACTGAAAAACATGTGAACAATAAAGTAAAGGGAGCTTATCAGGACATAAGATCAATAAAATGAAGCGTGCGTGATTTAGTGCCCTTGTTAACCTATTTATAGAAATGATATAAAAGTGAAGGATAGCCAAAGGGAAGCAACCTGTAGATCTTAAATTTGTAACTTAATTCAGTTATAAAAAAGATAACTGCTATAAGTTACACCCCATGTACTTTTAAACATAAAACTAGTGTTCAGTTCAGACACCATTTTATAACATTACTATTTAAGTTGAGGCTCTGGTCAGCCAATACAGGCGTAAGAACACTAAATTCAAAGTTTCAAGAACCCATATAGAGCAAGAGGTTTTAAACTTTTTTTAGAACTTGGTATTTATACTGGTAGATTTCAATAAAAGACGAACATCTTCTTACAACTACTTTCAGAAATATTTAGTTCTAAAGTGACAGCTGGCATGGACATATGATAACATATATATGTCCCAGAGGTTATAGTTAACGTTTATCGTTCACACAATGGATAGAATAAGGTAGTGATCTTAGTCCATTCATGTCTAAAAAAAATCAAATATAAAAAACAAAAACAACAACAACAAAAAAACAAACAAACACCTAAACCATTCATAAAATGATGATGATACTCTCTGAATGTTGTTTACTTCCCTTACTGGTAAATGTTGTAATTTGATATGTATTTTTCATATACAGGGATGGTTTTCCCTCGTTTTATTGGCTCTCGTGTTGACGAATGTCCACTGCCAGATACTGGAAGGCGATATGCCCACAGAACTGGTTGAATGCTACCAGATGAACGCCAATAAAAAACTCTATGATAACAGTACATATTCAACCTCTGCAGACATACACGCAAATTGTATGCAGCTCTTTCTTTGGAAGTCAGCAAATGTCCGTTGGAGCGATTTTAATATCACGGAAAAAGATAGGAGCTTCATAAACTCTCTTATAGGATCGGTAATAGTATATCTGACATTATTTTTTGTTGTCCTATGTTGCTATGTACCGTCCGAAAATTGTATGGACATTTATCATAAACACGTGATCTCTTTGACATAATTTAATGTACGTGTAGTAATATTTATAAACATTTGAGGATTCTTTTTTTCGGAATATACCTCGTGCAAAAGCTTGCTAGATTATTGCAAAGCAAGCAGACTGCAAGTATCATTTCATTTAAAAGGCTTATGGTGTCACCCTTACACTTGTCTGAATAATAATATAGCATGATTTAACCTGCAAAAATGACATGCATTTATACAACATTATGTGATTGTGTTTATACTAACTGAACATTTGTTAATTATATTCATTTAAAGTTTGTACGTCGTGGTCGAACAAAGCGTCAAGCCGGCCCTGGTGGCCCCGGCGGCCCCGGACCCCGTGGCCGGATATTTCCCATGACAGGGTTTAGAGTCCGACGAGAATACAGACGACTGTCTGACAGGGAAAGAACTGCCTTCCATGCCGCCATTAATCAAATGAAAATGGTAATATATACTGTGGATGATTTATATTTACATGTTTTCATATTTTATGCTGTTTATAAATACTTCATTACACTTTGAAACGCCTTGCTCGGTGATCGTTTTATGTATCCATTTGAATATACAAAGATACGTGATAAAACGTTCATATCGTTGAAAAGTATTCGATGACAATTGCCTTTCGTCGATTTTTTTTTCAAATCTTTGGTTTTCTTTAGATTGATAAAATAATGTTCATCCTCAAAGTGAAAATTGGTATACATTGGATTATTTATTTTCAAGTCAGGGCAGTATAACACGTTTGCAAATCTTCATCAAGGAATGGTCGTAACATCTGCTCACGGTGGACCTAATTTCTTAGGCTGGCACAGGGTCTACGTTGCGCTGTAAGTAATTCTGTTTATACATTTTAATTTAGACAAATCATTCTGTTCCAGAACACGTATATTTTATGAACGAATTAATTAAATCGACCTGATAAAACCGGTAATTTCCTGCTGTACACATTTACTTATTGTTTTCTATATTACGTAACTGTAGTTTCTTTTATTATGATAGTCAAAATAATTTTGCTTAAAGAAAAAAATTTTACTTAAAGATCGAGGTATACATGTATTAGTAAAACGTCATTGTCAGAGTGTATTAAATAGGATTTGTTTATTTTGCAAAACTCGCCATGTGAGATCCTGTCAATGAAGCACAATAAAATTTCCATATCCAGTTACTACATTTATTACAACAACCATATTGTATCAAATTAAATTTCAGGACAGTGTTTGCTCGAAGTTAAATAATATCCAATTTAACATATGATAAACAGGATCAACAAGGAATATCCAATATTGAAGATGATGTTCTCTGAAACTGTTCTCAAGTATATACATGTATTTGCTTATAATATATTTTTCTAGGGTTGAGGAAGCGCTACGTCGTATTAACCGACGAATATCACTACCATACTGGGATTCAACTCTTGACTTCGACATGACAAATCCTGCCAACTCTATCATATGGTCAGCTCCCTTTTTAGGCAACGGCGATGGCTTTGTAACAGTTGGTCCTTTTGCAAACTGGCAAACCCCGGTCGGTCGACTGACACGAAATGTTGGTGGCGGTAGTAGACTTTTCTCTAGGGCAGTTATTCGAGCAATTATGTCTCGTTGTCGCATACGCGAAATATCCGAACCTACAGCACAGGAACAGTTTAATCTTGAACTTGCCCATGGTGGCCCACACGTTTGGGTGGGAGGGCAGATGTCAGGTCTAAATACTGCTGCACATGATCCTGTATTTTTCCTCCACCATACTTATGTTGATTACATTTGGGAAATGTTCCGAATGAGACAGGCTCGATTTTGTGGTGTGAATCCTTCAAGAGACTACCCACCGACAATGGGAGAACACGCGGCACAAAGACCTATGGATGGTTTCCCTCAATATAGAAATATTGACGGGTATCGTAGTTACTGGACACGATTTTGGTATAGATATGAGCGTTCTCCAACTTGTGCCAGGTGGCGACCATTTTGTGGGACTCCATATCTACGATGTGATGTCGCAAGGCAACGATGTGTATCAGTTGCACGAATGGTAGCACCGATGGTAGCACCGGCAGCGGGTATTGCAGGAGCAAGAGCAAGTATGGCATTTGGTGGAAGTCCGCCCCAAACAATGGCTTCGTCACTTCGAGCAAGAGCACAAGAGGCAACTGTTATGATTGGTCCTCGATTTAGAGCACCACCTGCGGAGCCAAGAACTCTTGATGCCAATATAGGTAGAATGGCTGGCGTTAGAATGAGAAGATCAGTGAATACGACTGTTGATACGAATTCTAAGAAAATAGCAAAAGCAAAATCTTTTGGTGACTATGGACCAAAATTTAATGCTCCGCCGTCTGACGGTCGAACATCTGACGTGCTAAGTGATACGTTTGCTGGTGGTGTTATAGGTTTTGATCCTATTACTGACCCAATGGTGCAAGATGGAATTGTTTTCCCAGTTTCAGAGCCACTTCCTCTTTTGCCTACTTTGGACTATCCTGAGCCTGCAATTAATGATTTGCTGAGGACACCGGCACAAAACTCATTCTTCCTGGACGGCCAAACTAACATTAGTAATTGGGCTTTTATTCCTGTCAGAGTTCTTTTCACGAATGACAGAGAAGGTATTTCCGCTTATTTTCCGGAATTCAACAGTCAATATCCACCATACGTGGGTCAATTTCCAATGTTTCAACCACAACGTGAAAAATGCATTCAGGATCCGTCCGGTGCGATCCAGGTTAAGGTACAGTCAAGCGGACTTAATTACCACGGAACATTTACCGAAAATGCATTAATAGATACACATCTTCCTATAGATTCAACAATAACTTATATTGGAATCAAATCTCCGAAGAATTCAACGACAGAAGCAATCGTTACTGCTGTACATTCATGTGGAATAATGTGCCAAGCACATTGTATGATTCCAAATTCAAAACCAATTGCATTCAAGCCATGTAATGGTGTTTTGAAGATAGAAGGAAACAATACAAATCTCTTTGGTAACACCTATAAGGAAGCGGTGGCTAACGCCTGGAAAGGGAAGCAATTCAATGATATTCTTTCAGAGAACGTCAGAGTTGCCTTCCATTGCTCGATGTCCTCGGTATCACCATGGACTCCAAGCATTGCGAAGCAATCGTCCCCGCAAACAACCAAAGTATAAATAAATTAGTAAAAAGTGAAGCTTGTTTAATCAAATATCGCGCTGTGTAATTATTATTAGAGAAACCAAGATTTTTTAACATTTACGAAATGATTAATGAGTGTTTTATTTTTATTATGATGAAACTTTTAAGGCAGGCTATTTTTTATTTCACTAAATTAGAAGAATAAAATCATGACAACATAATTGTTTTAATTAAACCCCAAAGAAAACGTCGTTCATAATCAATAATGCAAAACATAATGACTTCCTAATTGATAATGTCTAAATGTAAGCGCAAATAATATATCGAATGCACCTGACAAAAAGTGTTTTAAATGTAAATAGACTTGAAAACCAATTATATCAATGCTTTCTATTCTTATAAAAGTGTGCGTGTGTCTTCCTAAAAAACCAATTCAAAACAAATGTTTGAAATTGAAGCCATCGATGTTAGTGGGTATTATAATTTATCGACCACAAAGTATGCCAAATAACCCTTTGTTGATAAACACATTTGTATATGTTTTTTTTTTTTCAATTAGCAACACAGATGTGGATTCCAACTACGGCATCAGCTTGAGCACCGAGAATTATATTCTAGAAAGATTCAATTAAAATTAAATAAGATCCGATTTTATCTGACTTTTGTTTATATTTTGTGGCCTTTAACCTACAAGCATGTTTACTTGCCGTTTTATCAGTATAAAAGGTATTATACTATATGTATTATTATTTTACCACAAACAGATTACTGATTTATAATTTTCATTGATCCAGTCAGCACTTATAAGGTCATGTGAGCAAAATATCAAGCAGTGTGTCCCTTCTTGAGGATGTTATAGACGTCCCTAGTGAAAATGCTGTCATTGTAGGCAAAAAGATATTACGAGGCTGCCTATGATGACGGAAAATGCTCTGAAACTTGCTGACATTCTGACAGAAAATCGAGCTCCTTTTTTCTTTTTAATTCGTATTGTACCTTTATTCTCAATTGAGGCTTTATATTATCATCTGAACATTTTTTTCTGATGACAGAAATGTGCATCGAAAAAGTATTATTGGCACGCAGTTACAGGGCAAAACAAGATTCACTACGACAACATTTTCCTGTTCAAAACATAATTATGCTACAGTTACATAGACATAAAAGCAGGTTGAAAACTTTATCATAGAATTTTTTTTAAACTTTAAATGAGCTTAGATCAAAAGCAATTGTGTCAGTGTGACACCTGTTAACAACACTGCTGTGATTATAGCGGAATGTAAGCAGACTACACCTGTCTATACTTACGGCAGACTAACTTTAAAAATCTTACGACTGACAGACAGTTCTAAAAATATGGAAGCTTGAAAAGTGCATTACAAAAATGTAGAAGGTTAAGATATAGGCTTGCATACATGTACAGTCTAACCAGTGTCAGAATTGTCGACCTATTTTTTCTTGCAGCCCATCTCATTACTCTTTTTTATTACAAGTAGAATAGTAAGTCGGATATAGAAATTAAATGCATACTTTGGCAAAAATGCCCTAGGTTAATATTTGCAAACAAAGTGTGAAATGTACCTTCCATATTTAATACATGTAAAACGTTTTTGAAACGTTCATGTTTTGCAAAATTGAAATAATTTTGTTATAAAAATAGAATGAAAACTAGATAAAAGTTTTTTCAAGAAATTACATATGATCTTTTTAAAATTTCATAGCGGACTTAAAATGATGTAAACTGACACCCCGTTTGATTTGCGTCAATATTGTTGTATATAAACCTAATTCAGTATCTGTGAGAAGTTAGCCACCTTATCAATAACAATAAGGAAATGGCATGACCTTAAATAAAAAGGCGGAAAACTTTTTGTCTCTCTCTCGTAAGAGAAGGGGAATCCTGTGATGCGTGTATGTGGTTGCACGGTCACTTTCCTTACAACATGCCATCGATGCATGTTTGTGGTCGCATGGTCGAAAATCTGTTATAAAATCACAACGTTTTTAAAAGTGTTGTTTTTTTTTGCTCACTTTTAATTAAGAGCTATAAAAGCCCAATTAGGATTTTGATTCTCCTACATACTAGAGATAGGAAAACTTATTACAATTTATTACTCCCAGTTACAACTTATAAGGATTTTTTACTCATAATTAGAAGAAATAATCCCAATAACAACTTTTTAACCCTTAAGATGTTTTAAAAGCATATTAGGACAAATAAAAATCTTACTGGAAAGAGCTAGCTGTCTTCATAGAAAAATTACCATATTTCTTACACTAACATCAAACACATCAGCCATTGGACAATTTCATAAGTAATTACAGTCACGCGAAACAGATACCAGCTACATAAAACTTAGCATTTATACATTGTATAAGGAAATAAAGGTGTGAATTCAAATGAAAAAATAAAAATAAAAAAAAGGTTATAAGTATATCATGAAACGTCTGTCCTCATTCATTTTCAAAAAATAATAAAAATAGTAAGAAAAGTCAATTTTCATTACGTGTACGGACTTTTTTGAATGCATCTCGCACTTAAGAATTGCCGTAAGCAATGATCAGCCTAAATGGTAATTGACCGTAAAACCAACATAAACTAGCCTTTTACATGTAATATGATGTTATTCGGTCGCAATACACGGGTCCATTAGACGTTTTCAATTATTTCATCCGCCATTTTGTATCGTCTGGGTTGACTCATTTAAAAGCAAGCGCTTTGGAGATAATGATTTTTTATGATGTGCGGAACGGAAGGTACTGCAAGACATTATACAATAATATATAATAAACACGAAGGTCTTACAGGAAATATTGAAGAACATCCTGGAAAATTAACTTTAAGGAGTTAATTCGCACATTTTTATCTAACGTAACTTTGTCGATTTAATTATATCTGAAAACTACAATTTGTAATTTAGTTATAATGTAAATACGACTTCCTCATATCGTAAGAAAAATGCTGAGTAATTTCAGAGATCTTTATTGGTTAACCACTGACTGACACTTGAGAAGAAACATTGCTTAATGTCATACTCAGACTTCATACTTGGTTACACAGGACGATGCAAGTAAATAAATGTTGTTAAACATGATCGTCAACTACTTTTTTCAATAATTATAAATGTCGTTTCAATAACGTACCAATTAGAGAGATCTCGAGCGAAGCAAAAAAGCAATAAATGTAAACTGCCCTTAAGCATATTAATGTACTATAAATCAAAAATGTGCTTTTGATCACAAAATGTTTTTTATTTATGAACATTACAGGTAAACAGTATCTTGATTTACTTTAATGCCTTACATCTTTATGAAAGGTGGTTGGCGAAGAAGTATTTGAAGTTAAAATGTTTCTCGTGTGCAATGTAATGCAATTACAAAACACTAAAAAAAAACAAAAAAAAACAAAAAACAAACAAACAAAAAGAAAACAACAACAAAAAACAAAACAACAACAACAAAAAAACGGCCAGTAAATATTTCATAATAGATTCAACTGTTGATGCGACACAAATTTTTAATAGGAAATGCACTTTGCGAAAGATCCAAAAGCAGACCTGCATATTAAAGTAAATTCAAAGTCCGATGATACTAATTTACCAAGCGCACAATAAAGTCATTGAATATTATTACTTATCAAAATCTTAAAAAGGGTTGATCCGAGAGCATTAAAATAGCATAATTACATGAAACTTTCAGATTGCTTTTATTGAGTCTGATTTTGAATATTAATACATAAAACCAAATACAACACTTTCAAAGTCACACTTCACGCCAACGATAATATAGTAGGGTTATCATCTTAGTTTTAAAGGCGATGTTTGATCATATCAGTAAACTTTATTCAGATGTATTACTATTTAACAATATAAGTATTAAATAAACATCATTCTTACTAGTTGTTTTTTTTAGTATCAGTTTCTTTTTATATTAGTGAAAATACTTTGAACAATGCTCTCTTTACCCTTAATGTAAATGCTAATGTAAAACTTTTAATTAACTGTGTGGAAGTGAAATGAGATTTTGTATTGGAGAATGTATTAGAGAAATGTATCAGAGAAAATAAGTTGTACTTATACTTATAGAAACAATACTAAGATCACATTTACCAACCAATACTCCTGAATCATTATGTCAATTTAACCCAAGACCGTGCAACTACTACAGTTTAATCATAAAACATAAATTGAGAAGCAAAATTCACCGTCTTTACCGATAGAATGTCGTTTGGGAGTTGCGACTAGAAGTAACTTACATTTCAACCTAAATTAGCTGTATAGAGAAACCCATAGTCTTTACCAGTAAAGCAGCAAACGTTCATTTTGGGGTTGCAACTGAAATGAACTAAAATTGAATCATATTATAGAAACCGAGCAGCAAAATGTATACTTTTCAATCACTTCTCTTCATTGAAATATAAAACACCCTAGATGTCATGCCAACTTCTTTCCGTTTATATACTCTACTTATTCAACTTATTTCTTTTGTAGTTTTTTATTTTCAATTAACAGGCTATATAACTGAATCGTGTCCATTTTACATAATTTTCACAATTGATATCAATCAATTTATACACACAATTGTTTCATCACATTAATTCATGCATTTTATTACGATGTACTTCAGATATAAAAATGATATTTGAAAATGATATGAAACAGGATTTAAGGATCTGAAAACCCTTTGTTAAAATGAATAACTTTTCAATGTAAATAAAATGAGCTTTTTCTTCGGACACTGGCTATAATGAAAGAATAAAATGCAATAAAAACAAATTAATTCCAAGTATATGTACATATTTTGATTTAGAACCGCCCTATAAGCCCATGTAAGACCTTCATAAATTTCCCTTTTGTTTGATTTTTATAAACAGCAGTCCTTTATTATTATTTTTTTTAGATATTTGGTTAAATGCAAGTACATAATTTTTACAATATCCTCATCTGCATGACAGAAAACGGATGCATTTTTTTATACCAACACTTTTCTTTGTTTGACAATATAAATGGTTTGGTTACACAGCTAAATAAATATTATATATGCTTATACACCTTGCATTTGACAAACCACATTTCATGCCAAGTATTCAAAATGAAGTAAATTTATTACGTAATGTTATTTTTTTTTTTACCGAAAAAAGGTAAGACGTACAGTATGGCTTATCTTATTGCGTTTTATTGGAAATGTAAAGTATTGCAGCCATTAGAACTATTTTGGTTCATCACTAAATTTTCTGTCTTAATTGCCTTCTTCAGTAACAGTTGCGTAGATGTTTACTCCTATCGCGTATTCGATATCGAGTTCAGGGAATGTAACATTTTCCCTTTTCATTTTCGGTTAACATGGGCCTCCTAAGTAAAACATTTTTCTCTAATTTATTTATTTCGTTGTAAATACACAATTGACATTTTCCTGCATCATTTTTTTAGATGTAATGAAGTACGTATTTCCAGTTAAATCCTTTTCCTATTAAATCGACTTCATTGTGGGTATTTTCTCCTGTTACACCATTTCCATACCTATTAACTTAGCAATAGATATATAATTTCTCTTGTTACACAAGTTTATCTTTCCGATTATCTTATATATATTCTCTCCAGTTTTATAGATTTTTTGTCACAATCTCAGTTCCAAATCTATTGTTCTTTAACGTTTTTATACCTATCTTAATCGGCCTTGTATCTCATGTTTCTTCATTTTCTTCCGTTGGAATTCCGTGTTAAACGGCCCTATAATCTCATATAAGGTCTGTTTGTTTGTTTGTTTCATTTTACGCCTTTTTCAACAGTATTTCAGTCATATAGGCGGGTAGCTTCCTAACCATCGTTCCTGGAGATTACACCAATAACTCTTCTCGCGTAAACTACCAAAGCATCTCCCGATCAACCCACGCGCAAGAGTAAATTTTGTGTTTTGGCTTAGTTAAGGACTCCTAACCTCGTGACACGGAGCGGTCATTATAAGTCTCTTAATTTAGGCCATTTTCTTGATTTTTTACCTTTCATTCTTATATTTATATTAATTATTTTGTCGGACTTTTATGTAGAATAGACCTATAATCTCATTGAAGATCTACACCAAACTTTCATTTTGTTAGACTTCCCATAAACAGGCTCAGTCAATCCGAGCCTGCAACTTAATCTATTTTGTCGTTTTGGGCGTTCTTAAAGGACTCCGTTTTTTCTTTATTTTATATAGAACGGCCATATAAAATCTGAATTAATTCTCTTTTTCTTTCTGTTGGACTTTTGTAAGCCGTATTATTTCATATAAGATTTATATTAATGTACTATTTGTTAGAGTTGTATGTAGAACGACCCTAAAGTCTCACCTGGTTAGTCATGATTTAATTCTTTCTGTTAGACTTTGATCTAGAGTGATCCCGAGTTTTCCTTTTTAATTTTCCATCCGTTCGACTTTTTATGTTGAACGGCCCTCCTTTCTTCAGTTAAAGCTACATTAAATTTCCTATTTGTTCGATATCTTTGTAGAAATGTCCCGTACGTGTTCTTCTGTATTATTTCGTTTTCTCCTATCTCTTTAAATTAAAAGATGATTTACAAATATTATCATATTTGATTCATGGTGTACAGCAACCTTAATTCCGGTTCTGTGACACGTAATAAATATGACAGACAAAACGATATTCTTAGATTCGGTCAGACTTTGTAACTATGAAGGTCGTGTCTACATGGGTAAGTAAAAATAAACTGATTAAGTTTTTCAATTATCCAAAACTGCTAAAATCAAATATTTTGTGAAGACTTTTTAACAAGATATTAAAGGGAGACGTAAATATTTACTGAAAATGTCATTAAGATGTAATATTACTGTATTGTAATAACATTTTGATAATGACATTACCAACTGAAATAGCTTAACTTATAGATAGTGATTAAGTTCTTGCTTGGCAATATCAGTCAATGTGTTCAAAAATTTGCTTTACCATATATATATATATTGAAAGTAATTTCTTTACGGCACCGTCTCTGTATTTTTTTTTATTTCATTAATCTTGTAGATATGTAACTTGCTCATTTTAAACAATTGGTCATTTAACCAGTTATATGTATCATTATTTTATTTAGTCACATATAAATTATTGCTTTATATGAGTGGTAAAACAATAGAAAATTATGACTGAATAGGTTCTAGCAGAATTGTTGTCTTCACAAAATCCTACTTTTAGCTAATCAATAAATCATACTGATTTCTACTTTTAAAATATCTTCTTATCATTTTATAAATATATATAAAAAATCTTAATTGTATCTACATGTTTTCCGTACTAGCTGTGTGTGGCTGTTTTGCTTCTGGTGGCACTTTTTGGGATCCTTCATGTGGGAAAGTGTCAGATTTTAGAGGCAGATATGCCGGTAGAGGTTGTAGAATGTTTCCAGTTGCTAGGCAATAATACTGGTGGAGCAAATCCTGAATTTGAGACAAGCGACGAGATCTATATACAGTGTCTTCAGCAGTTTCTATGGAAGGAAGAAAGCATACAATGGTCGGACTTCAATATAACCGAAAAAGACAAAGGATTTATAAATTCACTTATTGGTTCGGTAAGACTCACTCCATAGTTTTTTCTTTCAAGACCTAATGTTAAAATATTGTCTCACTCTTTTTATCCAGTGAACAATTAGGAAGGATATTTATAAAAAAAGCGTGGGTCACGTTTATTTTTGCGATGCAGACCATAAAAATGAAAACAATTATTGCAAAATGTAATAATGTGTTACTTGACTTCCAGCATTTACGCTTGGATGGACATAATGTCACTTGAACTTTTTGAATGCGAAGTCATTGGTCTTTGTACGAACAAAATAATGGTTTAAACTTTTTGTTGAATTAATCATATATTTATTTTTTGCAATTCAAATAAAAAATAATGTGTTAATGTCCTATTCGTTTATTTAACACGCCTTTCTGTACTTGTTTTTAGCTGGTCCGAAGAGGGAGACAGAAGCGCCAAATAGGACCCGTAGGCATATTTCCAAGGACTGGATTTAGAATAAGACGTGAATACAGAAGAATCTCTGATGGAGAGAGGTTTGCACTTCATAGTGCTATCAACCAGATGAAATCGGTAAACCAACTATTTTTAAAAAAAATATTCTGAGAAATATTACCAGCACTAGAATGACCGCACTAAATAAATTGGCTTTCTTACCAATTTATTAATTCACAGATAATTCTATACAACTTTACAAAAGAAAAAAGAAAACTAATATTCAAAAAAGAAAACTTCAGAAAGAAACGACACATTAAACATGTTTAAAGTTGCTACATTCCAAAGTTTAATGTTCTTTCTACTATGAAATCGGTCAATTTCAAATTAATTTGGTAAGATCATTTATTGTCCGGTAGGTGTTGAATTTTGCATTGAAGGTGGTTTAATTTATTTAAATTTGGTAAACAATGATATTGGAACAATGAGATTGTACAGAATTTGTGAGATTGTAATTATACTTATAAACCATTTCCTGATTGAGTAATGATTATTGCTCATAAGTGTACAATGTGGTAACTTATATTTTAGTCCAACAGTTATATAACTGTTACAAATAATAATTGTATGTTTGTGTTCGTTTTCTTTACATAATTTTAATAGTATTACGTTGACAATATGGTACTTTAATTATTTTACGTTTAAAATTTTGATTGAACAATGTGTATGAAGTGATGTTTCTCTTTGAAATTAGCATTTGTAGAAGTATCATAATTATATCATTTATATTCAATTTAAATTAAATCAATTAAAGTTGTTAATTAGAGCTAATGATATTCTACATACATATGAATATAGTTTAACCCATGCACTTACTTCCATTAGACAGGACAGTATGATACGTTTGCCAATCTTCATCAGGGGATTGTTATCAATTCTGCTCACGGTGGACCAAATTTTCTTGGTTGGCACAGGGTCTACCTAGCACTGTGTGTAGTTTGTTTCTTATATAGACATATGCACTTATACATGTAAACTTTACTGTGTGTAGATATTTTGTGTTAATGTAAACTTTGGGCGATCCATCCATTCAGAAAACTTGTTAAAAGGTTTCTTAAAATCTAAATTTCGGTAATGAAAAAAGAACGACCGCTTTCTTATATTAAACTATTTTTGTTTTCTTACACACTCCTATTAACACAACATCGGGCCTCTCACTTCAAAACGTTAAATGGAAAATGAAAAAGAATGACATCTATATTTGCGTAGTATATGAAATCACCGTACTTGTGGTTTTATAACTCATATTTAAATACATTATATATTGCTTTTGCAGAGTAGAAGAGGATCTTCGTATGATAAATCCCAGATTATCTCTTCCCTATTGGGACTCCACACTTGATTTCGATATGGTTGATCCTGTTGAATCTATCATATGGACTGAATCATTTCTTGGTAATGGTAATGGTTTTGTAACAACTGGACCATTTGCAAATTGGATAGCAGGAGCGAATCAGCTAACGAGAAATATAGGAGAAGGCAGCACACTCTTCACGAAAGAGAGTATTCGAATGGTTCTTACAAGGTGTCGTATACGAGACATAACAGCTCCCACTGCGATGGTCCAATTCAACTTAGAGAGGTACCACGGAGGTCCGCACAATTGGGTTGGAGGGCAGATGTCTGGTTTAAATACAGCAGCTCATGACCCCGTATTTTTTCTACACCATGCTTTCGTAGATTATATTTGGGAACTATTTCGTATTCGGCAAGCGAGATTTTGTGGAGTGAACCCGTCGACTGACTATCCTCCTACAATGGGACTTCATGCAGCAGAGCGTCCGATGGATGGTTTTCCACAATATAGAAATGTTGACGGATACCGCAGCTACTGGACACAGTTCTGGTACAGATACGAGCGTTCGCCAACCTGTTCAATGTGGCAACCATTTTGCGGAAGTCCATACTTACGATGTGACATGGCACGTCAACGGTGTGTCTCTATGGCCAGGATGGGACCTTCTCCATTACCTGCAGCTGCGGGATTTGGAGCTTCTCTTGCGGCTGATTCGCCTAGCTCTCCAGCATCAGCAATGGCAGCACGTGCACAGGCAGCTACTGTTTTAACTGGACCAAGATTTGTGGCGCCACCTCCAGAGCCTAGAACACAAGATGCTAGACTTAGTATGGGAGCTGGAAGGATGAGGAGATCAGCCAACCAAAATTTGGAAACAAAGACCGACATCAAAGTCAAAGGTAAATCATCGAGTACACCCATGGATGTTGTAGTTGGTCCTGTTTCAGAAGCACCAGATATTGGCGATCAAACTGTAAACAATCCGAACAATATTTTCAGTGGAGGCATAATTGGTATTGATCAAGATTTTTCAAACTCAGGAACAACAAATAACTCATTACTTTCACTTTCTGAAGAAATGCAACTTCTGCCTACGCCAAACTATCATGAGATAACTTTAACGGATCTTCTGAGACCTCCAGCTCAGAACACGTTTATTATTAACGATCACGTCGATGTTGCGATGTGGGCTTTCATCCCTGTAAAGGTTCTTTACACAAGTAATTTGGAAAATCCAGTTTTGAAGTTTCTAAACAGAAGAAACCATTACTCAAAGCACCCAAACGAACCGTCCTTGAATTCCTCTTCAATCAAATTTCCAAACAAGAGATGTATACAAGATGAATCCGGTGCAATGCAAGTTAGGATACAGTCTGTCGGCTTGAATTACAATGGTGAGTACTCAGGCTACGCCCTTATTGATCGACATTTACCAGTAGATTCTGCAACAACCTACATTGGTGTAAAATCACCAGAGACAGAACATACCGAGGTCGTTTTGTCTGCTGTTCATTCATGCGGACTTATGTGTCAGGCGTATTGTTTCGTCCAAAATACAGTACCGCCAGAATTTAAGCCATGTTCAGGGGCACTGAAAATTTCAAGCCAGGACCCAAATGTATACGGACGGACGTACGAGGAAGCCGTGTCACGTGTTTGGCAAGGAGTAATATCTGGAGGTGGAGTGCAGAATGAGAACTTAAGAATCATTTTTGATTGTTCCGACGATGATAAGGCACCGTGGTTTCCTGGCAACGATGTATTTAACAACACCATTTCTTCATTTTAAAACTGAAAGTAAAAGTTGCTGTTTTTTTCTCTCGGAAACGCTTTCCAAGATATTTTATCAAATTAAATTAAAATTACAATTTCGACAAATTTAAGAAATAATTGTGGACAGAAAATATCATGTTTTTTGTTATTCATCTGATTGTTCTATTTTTTTTTTCATTTGTAAAATAAACAGTTACATTTCTTTTTTATGATATCTTGTTTCATTTATTAACATATAAATGTATTCCGGAGCGGAATGAAGATAACAAGTGAGTGAGGTTGGTACACGCCTGATTAACTGGTTAGAATTCCAAAGTAATCAATATTCATATGTTTTCCCACATTTGGTGCCTCTGTACTCCTTACATTGCTTATAACATATTTGCTTGTAGTTTTTGAAGCTTCCAGTGCTACACATGTGATTTTCTACAAACTGTCACATGACCGGCCCTTATCTATACATTCTCACTGAAAAGTAATACTTTTACTTTGTAGGTCTGCTTTAAGTACTTTGATAGTGCAGTTTCCGTATATTCTAAAGGTATGGAGTATACCAATTATTATTAAGTATTCAACCGAACTGAGGGGGTTTCACACATTTAACTTTTAATGCAATGGTTCTTATTTCGTTTGGGGTCATATTGGAAACGTGTATTCTGCAAAAAAAACATGAAATGTCCCGAAATATTTAACTAAGTAACTCTATCAAACATTGGGTATGATTTAAGCAAGAAGTGATATTTCAAGCACTGAAACGTTTATATGTTTATACCGTACAATTTCCAGCTTCAAGAATACCTGATTGGCAATCAAATTTGAGAACATATATTTTGAATTGCTCCGGGTATCAATTATCAAAATTCTATTCAAGCAAATAGTTCATAAATGCATGTTTTGAAAACAGAAATCAAATCTCTTATCAAAGTAAAATGTATATTTAACAAATTTAATGGCCAGCCTACAAAGATGTGTTATATATCTATATATATATATACATTATATTATATATATTACATTATTACGAAAATAAACCAAATAAACATGTGTTAGTTAATAAACAATAACAGCAACATAAAAACTAACCCCTCAAAATTGTCACTTAATAGCATCATTTTAATTACCATTTTGCAAAAATATTTCAATTGTATGTCACCTTTAAACAAAACAATCTTGTCCTTTTCCAAAGATTTATCTATATAATGAAGACAAGCAATATATTATTGATGACTAAGTTTGTATTACATGTGTACATGCAAGTACACGCACTATAGCTTTTGAAGATGTATCTGTGAAATTTGTTCATTTATGAAAACCAACAAGTAACAGCACTACTGTCCAACCTGTCCTTCTTTTCTGCTTCCGCATTTTTTTGAAAATCAAAGAAAAATAAGAAAAATATCTATTTTGCAACTATGGCACATAGAAACTAATACATGTTCATATATTATTCTAGTCAATACTGTCTGACTGGCGTCATCATCTCCTGACATTGATTCAGTGTCTTTTGTCTGCAAATTCTTTAGATGTGTATAAGAACATGTAGAATATACATAATTTCGTGAATTTATAACGGTTACTAACAAATAAACAGTTGCTTCAAAACCACAGTTCTGTTATTGATAATTTGTTACATGGTACATTAAATAAAGCTATAGAAACATAATTCAAAATGTCCGCCATTTGTATCCTACGCCTTTCAAAGGCCTCTATGTATTTTAGAGTATTCCCTTAATCCGGCAAAGCATATTGCAACTAACCCAACAATAACGGCGACTTTAAGGGCCTTCTTTCCGAACGATTTCAACATTTGTTTTTGTAAATAAGATGTAGCGCTGTTATCCGTAGCAATACTTGTTTGAACAGATGGTCTTTGCATGAGCCTGTTGTAATATTCGTGCACAATTGTTCGTTTTTCGCTAGAGAAGTAGCGGGCGGCAATGGCGATCACGTGAAGTTTGTACATCAGGACAATAGCTGTAATGTCGGCTGCCGTGAAGTTTCTCCCAACCAACCAGTATTCCTGTGACTCCCCGGCGTCTGTGAATTAACAAAAGAACATGTAGAATTGTTTCAATGTATGAAAAAAGGATACACAAGAACATTTTATAAGTAAACTATGAAAACTAAGACTTTCAAAAATGGACATGAAATTTAATAGATGAAAATTTGCTCATTCGGTTTGTTTAATTAAGATTGTTTATATACTCAAAAAGATATGTCCATCTTTCATGCCTACTGGTGCAGGTTTTAGCATGTAAATATGGTAGTTTATTCTTTTTTTTAACATGGTGTAAAAATATTATAACTTCACATTTGTACTTCAAGTTAACATAATATCAACACAGTTCTATTTTAACTTTTGTCAAACTTACCTCGCTTTGATTGTTCAAGACGTTCCTCCACTTGATCAAAGACACGCTCTAAGTCATCTAGTCTTTCAGAAATCACAGATTCATTACAAACAGCTTCTGATTTATTTCTGATTTTCTCCAATTTCCGCTCAAAGACAGGTACTTCGTCCGGTGAACAAGATTGTTTCTTTTGTTCAAGCGTAGATTCACAACTTTCAAAATATCGTTCTATAAGGTAAAACTATTACATCATCATTATTATTGAAAACCTATATACAACCGAAAAGAAAACTATCATAGCATTGGTTTTACTAAAGAATATTGATGCTGCATAAAGTAACAAAATATCTCCCAGCATCAAGTATGTGTAAGAACAATAAAATGGACTATATGTATAACCGATTTCAAAAACAACTTTATTTTCGCTTAAAGATTCCGAGGGCAAAAATGGGACAATTACAGAAATGAAACAAAAACACATTTATTCAGTCATAGTTTATCTAAAATGAATATACATTGTAAATAAAATTTTGATTTCCTTATAACTTACCAATACCCTTTCTATCAAGAGAGACCATCTCTGATGGTGGTAATTCGTTTACACAGAACTTCCTGTTGGCTAAAACACCAAACATTATAGTGCTAATGTCTACATTGTCAAGTAGCATTCGGAATTCTCGCACTTCCTGTCCAATCTTTGTCTCCAAATTTGGAACGAGGGGAGATCCTGTTAAATGAGATAGAAAAATACAGTATACCAGTATATTATTTTTAAAATATTGCCATACCATAATTTAATAGTCAAAATCCGTCAAAGTACGTCAAAATCCGTAAAAGTCCGTCAACATCCGTAAAATTCAGGAGGTATACACAGAAGTTATCCTAAGCCATCCTCCTTTGGAACAACATTCAGAAATAAAAGGTATTAAAGAATTCTTGACAAAGCAGTCTGCGGTTGAACTATTTATAGAAATTACTTTTGAATTTAAGTTAGAATATACTTGTTTACTATATATTTAAAATTCGTATATTGTCTACTGTACTTAACGATAAATATATTCTATTGAAAGGGAGCTAATACAAAAACTAAACGCAAAAAATTCTTTTATCAGTTAATCAACCTTTTGATCAAAATAGGCCAAAGATTTGGTACAACTATAAATTTCATAGTATGTTATAGATAGCTTGAAACTAATATGCTCCTTAAAGCACCACACCTCCAGATTCATGCTAATTTTCATGAAAATTTTGAAAATGTATTTGAATGTGTGAAATTTTGTAACCAAAAGGAAACAATTTACACTTTATCATGGCACTAACAAACCACGTAAATTACCAAAGGTGGTCAAAATATGCATAAATAGTCTTTACTGCGTTAGTAACGCAGTAGAAATATAGTTGTAAATACTGAAAAATCTGTCATTAATCGCTCATAATGTGTAAAATATTACTTGATTCTTGAAACTTTTTACTTTTCCTTATATCTTAATACAATTTTCTCAAGTTTGATTTTATTGAAATATTTTGACTCATCTGGGTGCATGTAGTTTTAAAGAATATGTGGAAACCGCCTTTAGCATTTAACACGAATTTTCTTAAAACTGTATTTAAGTTTGGTACTGCTGACACGGGACAACATAAATTTAAGGTTAAGATAGATCTATTTACAGATTATTTTATTACACTAAGAGTTATTTCAAATATTGTGTTTGATTGTTGATCATTTGTTAATAATATTTAGAATATATTTATTTATATTCCAGTTATTTGATTCAAAATAGTGTTTGTTTAAACTAACAAAGCATTTTTTTTTACATTTAAGACAGTACTTGACCAAGAAAGCATTCAATTCTTAGCACTTATTATGTAATCATTTCAAATTAGTCAATAACTAGATAAATAACGATATTGCTATTATTTGTCTGTTTTAATAGCTCTGGTACTGAGGATTGCATACATGTATAGTTCAAATATATCATAATTTTATCATATTATGCTGATAACTTTATGCAGTCATTATTAATTACCATAAAGCAATTTTGAAGATCTATTGTAAGTTTTTCTTTCAACCACATACATGTTTATACGGTTATCGACCCCTTTCAAAATAAAATCAGTTATCTATTGAATATCCAATAAGATAGAAACATATCTAAGCACATGTTTGAGTATCAAATTATCTATTTGTATATATCTATTTGTATGTTATCAAAGAATAATAAAACGTTTCTGGATGTACCGGAAGGAAATGTATGATCGATGACGTCCACGATAAGGTCAGACTCTGAGATGTATTCGCCATTTAGTTCCAAGACGGGAATCTCTCCGTTTCGGTTAATCTTAAGGAACCAACTCTCATTCTGTTCACCTGCTATTAAGTTTATAATTCGCTCTTTAAACTGAATGTTCTTCTCTTGTAATGCCAACAACACCTGAAAGAAAAAAAACACGTTAAAATGTTTTACGTGTAATGAAGTAGAGAAAAACAGAATCCCTGAAGAAAGCCCAACACGGCAAAATTGTAAAGTGTTGCAGGCTCGGTTTGATTGAGCCTGTTCATGGACGGTACTGGAAAGTGCAAGTTACCGTCTACGCCCCCTAGCACCGGCTTAAGCAGAATTCAACATTTAAATACAAAAATTGTGAATTTTTGAATTTAGAAACATCCGCAGATGTGTCACTTGGCGGTCTTCATGGAACCTTCAATGTGACACAGTAGTGTCATTCCATGAAAAGCGGCGTATGGTCCCCAAGTAAAAGAATGCATGTGCCCTAAACGAGAAAACAATGGGCGGAACTAAATAAAATGGAATTTTGAAAGGGAATCTGAGGTTATGAGGCCTGCATATCACAGACAAGACGTTAAAAGACAAATTTAAAAAGCAGGCAACATATCCTAAGGGTGATTATACAGTATTCAAATAGGAATACTGGAACCACCCAAAGTGAAAAAGGCCAAATACAAGATACTAAAAATACCATCTAAAATGTATACATAACAATAAAGTCGTGCTGACAATCTTCAAGGATCGAAAATATATTAACATCATTGATTAAATGTACGGGGAGACTTTTACAGCCGCCACACGGCAAAAATAACACGGATGTGACAATGAGACCATTAAATAAATAGATCATGAGCTCTACTTTTTATTAGGTTACCAATGAACTTCCAGCATTCGCACCACTTGATGTTACAACAATATGAACCGTTATTGGAGGCAATCTTACCAATTTATTTCCCAAGTTAAGTTCAAAAACTCCATATCAAATCCACATTGTACTCGAAGTAACATTATCACAATAAAAACAATATTGATTATAAGTTCTTTCATACATTGTGTTATCTCCTTTCTGGTGTAAAGAAGAGATCTCTTACATTGTTGAGTATCACAAAGATTCTATTTAACCCACACACAACTGGAAAACCTACATTGGTCTCAGTTAGGGTCTTGTCCTATATAGGTATACAATTGTCATTAACGTATTAGATCAATTTTAGAACTTTGAGTTTAATACATTGAAAATGGAGTTCCTAATAGTTTTTGTATAGAGATAATTAAAAAAAAATGGAAATATTGAAGACTTGGTTTGATTAAGCCTGTTTGGAACGTTACTGGAAAATGCAAGCTACAGTCCATGTCCCCCCTTAACACCGTCTTAAGTAGGATTCAACATTAAATGGAAAAAAATGAATTATGAACGTCGTGTGCCGTAAAGGAAAAAAGGAGGAAACTAAATAAAAAGGAATTTGAAAGGGAAACAGCGGTTATTAAGTCTGCATATCACAGACAAACTGTCAAAAGATAAAATTTTGGCAAAACATTCCAAAGGCGATTAAGCATTTTTCAAGTAAGGCATGATGCAACCACCTAACTAGAAAAAAGTCATATAGAAATAAAGTTATAAAAGTACAACAAATAACATTATGTGTTGTTGAGCGATCTTCTTATAAATATGCCCTTGACGATATCTATACTTGCCAAAGTCGTAACAAGTGTTCATATAAATGTTTGAATTGTTTATATCATCGCTGTCATGTAAATTCAAAGTATGTTTTTTATCAAGTATGCATTTACACGATCATTTTGATAAGTGTGTGTGCACGAATATGCATTTCGTAACATTTGCAATATTGATTTGATAAGTTACGGTTCGCATGCTTAACTTAATCCTCGTGAAAAAACTTTGATAATTTACCTTCGAGAACTGTAGCTTATTTACAGAACAAGTTACTATGGTAAAATTTCTTCGAAAGCGAATATTACAGTATATCTCGCTACGTATCTATTAATAGTAGCAGTGTGCTCGACTAGTCAAAGTGCTTGATAGTAAAACAAGTGCCTTGAAAATGTAGATTTTTTAAGTACAAAAAGGGCCATAGTGATGTCAAAATCCCTATTAGAGTAATGAACCTTGGATAGTGACTCAAGTTTCAACCCATTCCCTGATACCAACTTGCACGCAAATACAATGTACGTAACCAACATGTGACGCCAACGCCGACATCTGGGTGAATATAATAGCTCTCCCTATCCTTCAGATAGTCTAAAACAAGTCAAGAGAGTCAATCTTAACAGTTGATATGTTCACTGTCTCAAAATGTAGACCATAGAAAGGGTGTTATTAATGTATAATAAATTACGTCCTTTACATTTAAATCGTAGTATAAATTAGATACAGTTACTCGTATTTTCTTCAAAAGTGTGTTCTTAAAGAAGACAGTTCGATACGACAAACACCAGTCTATCTTCCGCTTCGCCTCGGACAATTTGTTCTTTATCTTTGCAAATTGTAAGAAGAATTCTTAAAGATGTGAATAAGACAGTTCGATACTACAAACACAAATTTATCTTCCGCTTCGCCTCGGACAATTTGTTGTTTACCCTAGCAAACTGTAAGAAGATACTTCAGTAGAAAAACTCGTACTATAATGTATCCAATAGATATCCAAATAACACAGCTCTGTTATTTTTTTATCAATATATGAAATTCCTATAAAAAACGTTCCCATTGTAGACCATGTTGTACAAATAAAATACTCCAATAACAAATTTTAATTCTTACCCTCATAGAATAGTAAGAACATGGGAAGTAGTACAGTGTTACTTCCTTGGTCGCCATTTTGATTTTACAATTAAGCCCCGCCTATATAAATCTAGCACGAATTTCCGATAAAGCGTTTTCATCCTGATGAGAATAGACTATAGTGTACCATCTACGGTTTAGGATATTCTTATACAACTATATATAATCTGTATACATGTATTGTAATAAGTAAACAAGTCTAGATTTTGAACCCATTTAGATTACATATTATCTTATCAAAGCGATATCAATGTCATCATATCATCAAAGATATCGATATTTTTTTTTTACAAAATAGGTAGGTATGTTATTCATTTAAACAAAAGTAAACATTTTGCAGTTTAAAAACATAAACTTACAGACAAAATATTATCATGCACGTTAAGGCAGGGAAAACTGTCTGGTAATTTTATGTCTCAGTGAGTCATTTTACAAGTTGAAGAAATTTAATTTAACTGTTTGTGTAAAAAAAACTTTGTTTACTCATTGACCATATAATTTCACAAGAAATACACACAATTAAACGTGAACGTTGCCTTTGCCTTTTTGATCTTTGTTCAAGGCAATGTAGTATTGCAACGAATCGCGGCAAGAAGTTGCCTCGCTTTGGCTTAATAGAATCTATCATTGGGTAGATAGAGGATAGGGTAATCCCCACCGATTGCCCGAGGGTTGGGATTTTCCCCATCCTCTATCTAACTCAATGATTGATTATTTTTCTCACTCCCCTGGACACAAGAAACAAAATATAAATATCCAGTGAAACTACTTGCTACGCGCATTACAACGTACCTAGTTTTGAAAAGCGGGGCGGGGCTTAGGCGCCTGACTCTCTATGATTAAAAACCATTATGCACGTCCGCAAACAATTCTACTGACCAAGTTTATGTTTGAAGAATTCAGTGAAAATAAATGCATGTGAGATCCCTCATCAAAAGCAAGGTTATCGTGATAAAACACATCTGAATATTAAAGTCTGAAAGTGTCATAAGTGTTTATAAAGGAATTTAGTCCATACTTCAATGGTTGACAAATGCAAATATTTTTCTACTTTATCGGTTATTTTGGCCGAATATTCAATCAAAATATATCAAAATGAGATTCGTCATCAAGAAGTATCGTTATCATAACGGAAAATATGGATGTTTTTCAGGCAAAGTGTCATAATATCCGATTTTACGAAGAATTTTTCGATATTTTAAAGTGTGCTATTTTTAGTAACAGATCGATATTGAAAAGGGCGGACATAAGTAGAGTAGGACTCATTGTAGTGTGAAAGTTAATATCAATATATTTTGATTTGTGGACAATTAATAGATTAGCTCACATATTTTTAATACTTTTTGACCTTTTGACGTTTCATTTTTGTTAAAATAGGAGTGAATCGCGGATGTGTAGTAATACTTTTTAAAAAAAATGTTGCACGTTGAGTGTGAGATAAAATTTTTAACACCGCTATATTTAGTAACATTTACGGATTTTTCTATCTGGTTAGTGAGAATAAATACATACACATTACCTTTCTCCAGATATTTACACATTTTACTCTTAAGGTTACTGACTGAATTTTGTAAAAATTGTTTATCAGCTACTAAAAACACTCTCGTCAAAAATGGTTAACATTAAAAGTTATTCATAAGTTATTTATACTCTATTAGTTCACATGAGTAACTGTCGAAAAAGTACATGGTAAGTATTTCTTTTAACTATAAACAGACATTCATGCAGATATATTAAAATAAATCTGTGGACAAGACAGACATAGATCATTGATTCAAGCACATTCATGTAATAATGTATAGTACTGTTGTTTTTGTTTCTTCAAAGGGATCCCCGTTTTTTTAGATTTTTAGCGTACGAATTAAAAAGAAAAAGAAAATTTCTTATGTTAATCTATCAATACAGTTTCTATAACCCCTTCCTGTGTTTTTCGACGAGAAAACTGTTTTTCTTTCGTTCGGTTTTACATCGCATCAACACAATACAGGTCATTTGGCGACTGGCTAGCTTTGCAGGTAAAGGAATACTTCAAGAGCCCATCGATACATTATTTCAGGCAAGAATGGACACATGAGTAGAACAACCAACGTTCTAAAAGTTAGCTTGATATCTTCCTCACATTAAAGAATCCAAATATTCCGGCGGTATTCGATCTCAGAGCAGTGATGGACAAGTAGTTTGAAGTCAACGAAGTTAACCACTCAAAACCCTGTAAAAAGAATAACAACGACTAGAACAAAATTTCTAGGACTCAAAAGGAATGATATAATCGGCAAGACAACTGATACTCATTGTTAAGAATGTTTGATTTAATTTCAAAGCTGCTTCTTCAAGATTGAGCAATCACATAAACGTTATTTTCCCAATCATACAATGTCTTAAATGCTAAAACTCACAATTCGGTCGTACATGGTAAGCACCTTATTCTTATGTGTGTTTTTTTTCACGAGTAAAATCATGTTCATTGATATGCAATATACACAAACACATTTAACCGTCCCAAACAATACAACATCATGCATAATAAGTTGCTGGTTTTGAAATTGAACATACATACAGCACATTCAAACCGAGCCTGCAACATTTTCAATTATGCCGTCTTGGGCTTTCTTAAGAGGTTCTTATTTTCTCTTTTTTATTTTCTCTTTTTTATCATGCATACAGAAAATGCAGGCTAAACTTTGCTAAACGTTCATGCCATCAAACATAACAATAAAGATCAGCATGAAAGGGTGGCATTCAATGAACGCATCCCCAACAAAACTGGACTATAAAGAACTGAAAACAATAATTATTTGTGCAATAATTATAACGTGCTGTAAGGCTAGCGCTTATCGTCAAACACCACTTAATCAAAATTGCAAACTCCGTTTGATTAAATCTGAACATCAGGGATAATCAAAAAGTGTACCATATGGTGGCTGATTTGGAACGCTTTTGTGCGTCGTGTTGGCGCTAGCGACAACACGACAAAGCGAAAGACGGCGCGTTGTCGGACTTTCGTTTTGTCCTCCTGTCGCTAACATGCACGCCAAACGCCGCATTGTCGTGCGACGTGTTGTCATGATGTCACATTGTCGCTCGATTCAAATCGAAGGATTGGCTTAAAAGCCAAACGACAGGGCGACATCGCGACAACGCGCCGCACGACAACGCGCCGTTTAGCTTGCTTCGCTAGAGACAGGACGACAATACATGAGTGCGACAACACGCCGTTTGGAGCTTTGTCGCGCTAGCGACAAGACGAAAAGGCGATAACGATATAGGCTGTGTTGTCGCTATCGACAGTGCAACGCGCAGTGTACCAAATCAGCCATCATACAAATCAGCCACCATACATTTCCCTTGCTTTATAGTTTTTGTTTGCCTTAGATTGATTAAAAGAACAACATCCAAACTATTGCAAGGTTTATTTTACATAGAAATCAGACAAATGGTGTATCAAACGGTTGATGCTAGATATTGATGTTTTTCCGGCCAAAGACTTCCTGTTAAATTTACAGGGAAGAACTGAATTTAGGTAAAAATGTCATTGGTCATTTTAAAATAACAATCTGAAATCCCGGAATCTGATTGGCCATTGTCAAATTATTAAAATCACGTGAAGGATTTTTTTGACATGGTATACGCGTCTAATTTTTAATTGATGTAAAGGAGTCTGGAAACGAACTATCTACTTTCATATTAAGTTCTTTTACTATCAAATTAAATTTCAGATACTTAAGGTGACAACAGACACTTTCCGTGGTAATCACATAAATGTCATTTAAACCAACTTATTTTAGTAATTATTGTTATTTATTTAATCTTTGTGCATTAAATGTCGTTGATCATCATAAAAAATAACATATTTGAAAAAAATGCCTTTGTAAATGATTGATTTTTAATAAAAATCCTAAAATTTTAAATCGTCATATCAAAGTCATTTTTTATTTTTTTGTCATCAAACTTTTGGAAAATAAACATACTTATAATATCTGGGGAACCGTGTCTCAAATTTTTTCTATCTTTTCTCAAAAAAATATTACGTAACGTCAAACATTTTATGCGACTTTTTTCACCATACATATTACGTAATTAAAGATAATTAAGTCGCTGATTAAGCAAACAAAAATCCCTGACACGGTTCCCTCCGTAAATGAATTCCCTTTCATGTGCTTTAAACCGCATGTTAATTGCTTGATTATTAAAAAGGTTATGCCGATTCAAAGTTAGTCCGACCCGCATCAAACGAAGTGTCATAAATCGGCTGTTCTCTCTCGGACCCCTACGTTTCACGCTAAATAATTACATAATACACAAATATCGTACCAGAGAGGGTCACAAGTTGCGGTAACATACTCTAACAACATTTTATGACCCAGTGACATCTGACCAATTAAAAAGTTGCTGATTAATATCAGTTTATAACAGAAATTTCTTCACATCTTTACGTGATTTACCGTCAGTCTGGTATCGGTTGCACATGTCACGTGACTTTCGGTAAAATTTGAGGCACTCGGTGGGGGGAAATGGGACGTATTTGTTCACCGCTAGCGGGGTATTTAATTGTTTCACATTTGAAGTTTATTATTATTATCATCAGCATTATTATTATATTATACCAGTGTCACTCTATCTGTGTACTCGTGTATGAAATTCCGTTAAAATATAAATTAAAATAACAAAAAAACTGAGCTTCTGACAGTCTTTTAAAGTCCATGGTAGATGTACAAATAAGAACGGGATTTTATATATTTTTTCCTCCAAATTGATATAAATGCTTCACATATTTTAATAGAAATAAAAGGTATCACTCATTCATTATGTTCTGACCTTCTTGACTTCTATTATCATGAAAATCATCTATGCACGGCATAGAGATCCAGTTTCTACTGGGATATACAATAAATTCCAAACTTTCTCCCAGGTTTATCAGTACTGTGTTCGATTTACTAGCGAACAATTTATTCAAAGCATTCATTGATAATTTATTTTATTATCTTTTTTTATTGATTCATAGAGAAATAATCATCCTTAGACAACCTAAAATGGTTTAGAAATTTGTCAGAGAGACCTTACCACAAGTCATATAGGCGTTCACATAAAAAATGTTGTCTGTTTTTGGTTTTTGTTGTTGTTTTACTTGACATTGTTAGA